AGACTTAAATCTTATTTAACACTCAGCAGGAACAGAACAAAAGGCACGTCAGTCCAAATCACTCCAAGACACATCTCCTGAAAGACCCTCGGGAGGCCCAACTATCAAAAGACCCTGTTTCCCCAACACAAAGCTCCTGACACACCACAGAGCATTAAACTCTTTCTGTGTTCATGCCATTAGACTCCATGAAAGCAGCAACAACATTGACGTCCATCATTTAACCACTCGTATTCCCTTTGAAAGCAAGCAAGGAATATTAAATTACAGAGGTGCTTTTCGGGGCTCTCTGCAGATTCAGGAAAACATCCATGCTGGGATTACACGTGGAAGAACTGTACAGCAAGAGGTGAAAAGTTGAGGGAACCACTGCACTGAGCTCTGCTGCTGCTCTCACCTACTGATTCCTCCCAACCTTTTCAGCTGGAATTTAAAATTCCCATCTTGATTTTCCATTTGCCGTCGATATAATATCGAGCCCAGCAGTCATTTCCTCACTAAAGGTAATTAACAAGTTATTTGTCAACTGTGCTTTCAGCTCCCAACCACTCAATTTCTTTATGCCTTCTCTGGTAGGTCGAGATGCTCTTGGATATCAAAACCAATGCAAAGCAAGTGTGAAACATTATTATTCCAGCTTCACACCCACTTTCCCTCGGTGTGAACAATAATGCAAACTGCAAGACAGTGATGAATTGGACCTGGAGAGGACCAGATGCTCTGTGAGCATTAGCACAGGCTCTGCCCCAAAACGTTCTCCAGTCTAAAAAAAAAGAGATGTGATGCCCTGCTCTCAGAGCTGCCCGTGCACACACACAGTCCTTTAACACCAGGTGTTACCAGATCACACTCGAGGTGGAGTCAGAAATGGGAAATAAGCACAGAGCAAACAAGAAAACAGCAAGGGCAAACAAATCAGTGTGGGCAGAGGAATGTGTATTTTGATAAGCATTTTTTTGGGGGGAGTGAAAAATAGCTTTGGCACACGTTTGCAGATCAGCACTGATTTCAGTGAACTGGGGTTTGCAGGCAGGCTCAGCCACTTCGACCCAAAACAAGCCCCATTTAGAGCAACTCCATCACACACAGCAATTTGCTGCTTCATCACAGCCCACAAAGAGAAAGCAGGGGGGCTGCTGCCCAGCGTGAACCCCACCACAGGCTCAAACATCAGTGGCAACAAGCCTTGCAGTCCCTCTGCCTCTGAGCAGGGCCAGGGAGCCATCAAATAAACCCTTCAGCATCCAAACGTGATTGGATTCCTTCAGAAACACGTCAGCCTCTGTCACTGCAGCACCAACTCTGGGGTTTTCAGCACAAAGTTTGTGAAGAGGTTAGGGGAGGAGGCCCAGGCTGTCTTTGCTCTCAGATTGAGGAGGGGGAGAGAAGGTGCAGAGCCACTGCCAGGGAGCAAGAGCTGCTTTTCTGCTGACCCAGCTGAGGTGTGATCACACAGCTCATCGGCCTGAGATCCTAATGACATCAACTGCTCCTGGAAGAGCCAGGGAAGGAGCCACAGAGCCCTCCCCCAAGGACCACCAACGCAGGGAACACAGCACAGGGAGAGCTGTTCCCCACCAGTCACCCTCCTCCCCCCCAGCACACACTGAAACAGTCCCAAAAAGGTAAAAAAAAAAAAAATCAGCCCGCTTTTTAAAAATAGCGAGGTCTGTAAGGAGCTGAGCACATGCCTGAGTGGGTGGGAAATTAGTATTATTATTATGATGATGATGACTTTGTGCTCACAGGGTCCAAGACCTCAGATGACTTGTTTGTGCCCGGGATGAATTTTTGCAGACTCATTATAAACCCTTGAAAAGTGGGGTTTGTAAGGTCAAAGAAGAACTCCCATTAACTGTAGCCCAGCTAGGGATTGCCAGTATAATCTATCTCTCCCATTTATGCATATTCAATAAGGCCAAGAGGAAGCTCCTTTGCTTTATTTCCACATCGTTGTGCTGACGCTGAGCTAACCAAATAAACAAACTGAAGAGAGGGTGGGGAGGAACAGAGAGGCTCAGGGAAAGGGAAAAAAAAAACCCACAAATGCCTGGTTCTCTCCTTCATGAAGGATGCAAATACATTCTGCAGACTTTGAAGTCAGGAGATCTCGGCAGAGATGAAAATCCCCCTGGGCTGGATGGCTCACCAGGGGCTGGGCTCGGGTGGTTTTTTTGGGGGTGTTGTGTTACAGAGCTGCTTCCACGCAAAGGATGGGCAGGATAAACATTGGTACCTTGACACCTGAGTGAGCCCTGGCTCAGGGATTTGCAATCGAGCAAAAACAGCACTGTCTGGGCTCTCTAATCCCCCCTCCTGGCACTGTGAGACCACAGACTCTTCAGACACTTCACAGCAACGCTCCCTCTCAAGCACTGGGAACATTCCCGAGTCTCTGGGTTGGAGACACTGAGGATCCAGGCAGGAAATCACCCGTGGAGATGGACAGCACTCTTTCTGCCACATCAGAGCATCTCCTGTGGCTCCCCATCGCCCTCAGCTTGTCCACACAGCCCCTCATCAGCTGCACGCACAAACCACACCATCCCCTCGTGTCCCTACACGTTCTCCTGGCAGAATCCCACAGGATCCCCCCCCCCAGGCTCCATTATCAGGGCAGGATTCACTCAGGGTTTTCTTCTTGCCATTCTGAAGCCCGAGTTACACCAACTGCTGCTACCGAACCACCGGCACAGGCACAGCCAGCAGCCTTCCCTTCTGATTCTCGCAAAAGCAAACCCTTTCTGTTGGCACCTTGGCTCTCTCTAACCCAGCTCTGATCCATTTCCACCTCCAAATCATTAAAGGTAATAAATAAGCCCAGCCTCAGTGTGAGGAACCTTCACATAATCACCTGTCTCCCCTCTGATGAGCACTCGGCCATTACACTTCTATTTTCTACAGCTTAACTAGGAAAGCCAGCACTGAACTCTGCCCCTTATCCCACAGCTATTTATTGCCCACATTCTGCTATTTATTTCCCAAAATAGTCCCTTTTGGGTGGATTTAATGAAAAAATCCAAATAAATTAGGCCCGTTGGAACATGTTGAGCTCCTGTTTTCTCAGCCTTCCAAGCAGCATTAGGAGGGAAGGCTTCCCCACTGGGCACCCATGCTCTGCACATAAGCTGAGGTGATTTGACCCTCAAGCTTAGAGCCATCCAAGTATTTCAGTGATAATTAGGCCCTCCCAGCAGGCATAGAAGCAAAACTCACCTGCCTGACATCCCAGCTCTTCCTCAGGTCTGAATTCTGTAAAGGCAGAAATTCCTGCTGCATCCATCAGCTCCCTCTGCCCACTGGGGTTCCTGCCTTGCTAACTGCCCAGCAAGAGTCCTCCCCTTCATGTTTACACCTGCTGCTCGTTTACACTCGATTTACCTCAGGGCCATCAGGCCGACCATCCCCAGACCCTGCTGATTTACAACACCTTTTCTCCCTTTCTCCCTCTCTGAACAATTCAATCACTGCTAATTCACTGCAGGTGGGGACTGCCAGCTCTGTCCCGCCCATCAGCCACTCACTGTGACCAGCATGGAAATGTTCTATCCGTGGAAGGTGTCCCTGCCCATAAGATGAACTTTAAGGTCCCTTCCAACCCAAAGCATTTCGTGATTCTATAATCTGGCACTCCACCTTCATCACCAGTCACTCCCACGTCCACCCCATCCTCTGTAGCACACCAGGTCTTCCACAGGCACCAGGACAAACATGGAAATCGCTGTAACATTAACTGCCCCTCCAAGTCATGTCCCACAGAGCAGGTGAAAAGTTATCACAGGGACCCTTAAAACTGCTCCATTACCTCCTCACAGGTTTTACAACTTTTTTTTTCCTCTCTCCAAGTCCCCCATTTTTCTTGTCAGAGAACCCATGGCAGTGTTAGCAGCTCCCCTGAGGGTACAAGCCAGACAAACTGGAGTTTCCATTCTCCTGAGCAGGGGCACAGCTCTGCAGCATTCCCAGGGTCTCCTTTCTGGACAAAGCTCTAAGCCAAGTTTTCCACTCCTGTGCAAAGCTTTCCTCCTGGAATTGCTCATACCCTAATGGTTTCTCAGTATCATCCTCTCATTTCCCGTGTTCCTCCTGTCCACACACAAAGCAAGAAGCTCCTTGTTTTAACAGATTCCTCAGCCTTTATGTGCTTAGAAACCATCCCCCCTTGCCCAGAACAAAAAACATTTCTGAGAAGCCTTGCAAAACTTTTGTCTTGCCTCGTTGTGCCTGCCAGGAAGCACACACACACACACACACAAAAATATAAATCAAACCTGACCCTAGCAAGTACTGCCCACGAAGCTCTCCCCCCAAAAGTCAGGGAGAATCGATACCCACACCTCAGGCACATCATCAGGCCTTTAAAAAGGGCAAGACATCGACTGCCTGCACACACTTAGTGCTGACCAAAACCAGAATAAAGCTCAAACTGCCTGAAAGAAGATGAAGTTCCTTGGAGGAGGGAGTTCTTCTCCACCAGTTTGGCCCAGTCGTGTCTGATTCTGAGCATCTTATCTGCTCCTTCATCCATTGTGTCACCCCTCCCTCCTTTTCTCCCCTGCTTTTCCTCTTCTGACACCAAAGCCCATCCTTCCACCCACCAACCCATGCAGGCTCAAGCATCACCCCGTAAAAACACACAGCTTCTCCTCCAGCCAGAGCAGCCCAAGGCCTTTCCTGGTCTCCTCTGTCCCTATTTCACATGGAAAACCAGCAGCAATTCCCCAGAGGAAGAGGAGCCTAAACCCACATGGCCAAAGCAGCTCCTGCAGCTGAACACAAAGATCCTCCATCACAGGCAGATTCTCTCCCACCAGAACTCCTTCAATTACCCAGGATTTTGTTGAGGATTTTCCCAACTCCTGGGTGAGTTTAAAGTTCATTTTCTGCTTTTCCTTCAAGTAAAGACATCAGCATGAGCACACACATTGCACGGGAGACGCGATTCTCTGGCACATTTAAGCTTTCAGAAGAGAGAAGTCTGGAGGCAGCACTGCCCATACCTGCCTTGCTGCTCCTTTGATGAGCTCCCTGAAGACCAGGTCCCTCAAACCATCCTCCATTCTCGCCCAGATTGCTGAGTGCTCCTTGGCATCGAGGTGTCCAGGCCTTTGCCAGCCCACATGACTCCTTGGCTTATTTTCCTTGCACAGCTTGCAAAAGAAACCTCCAGCAAGAAACTTGCAGCATCTCCGCCTCTGTGCTCCTCAGAGCTGCAGGCAGCTGCTCCAAACCCCCCACTTATAACCAGCCTTGCACAGGTGATTCTTTTCAGGGAGATGTTCATCTCTTTACCCCAACTCTGGTCTGCCCTCACCCACAGCCCTTCATTTCGGGGTTCACCCACCTCAGGCCCCCCTCTTCCCATACCCAGGAGCAGAGGCTCCATCCCCACAGGAGCCAGACCACAAAGGGTTAAGAGAAATGGCCATTTAAAAAAGGAAAAGAAAAGAGCATTCTCCTTCCCTGTGCTGACACTCTCTCTGCTCAGCACAGCCTGTCAGCTCCCTCTTCCCCCATCCCAGCTCCAGCTGTCTCATCTCAGGGTACGAATTCACATCAGGTGTGGGGAAAGCACCACCTGCAAACCAGAACGAGCCACACAGCAACTTTCCCAACTTCTGCCTTCGCTAATCAGGCCCAGCCCCGAAATGGAAACCGAGAGGGGAAGGTTCTGCCACCCCCCATCCATTTCTCTACCCAGATGGTTCCCTTCAAATACACAGCTTAATATACATAAATACTAAAGCAGACTTGCATCAAGACACGTTAAAAATGCCTTGGCACGGTGGGAGCCTCACTGCAGATGGCTCCTACCCCTGTGTGAAACAAGACTAAAGCAAACCATGGCAGGAAAGCACCCGGCACAGTCACATCCACCTCCTACCTGTGAGCACACACGTCTGAGCACCCAGGAGCTGGTTGCTGGGTGCTGTCGGCTCCACGGGAGAGCCAGAGACTCCAGAAGGATGCTCCTCGCTCTCCCAGCGCCGTAGGCTCCCGGCTGCCAGCCCAGGGAGGCAAGGGAGGCTCTGCTCTGTGCTCGATGCAGCGGTCACATCCAGCCGGGATGTGGCTGCTGAGCGGCTTCCCGGAGAAAAGGCTGAGACAAAGGGCTGGTTCCTGCTGGGGGGGATCTCCCCTGGTGGTGGTGGGGCTGCTGGAGCCCACCCGCGCTCCGTCAGAACGGCCGGGATGCGGTGGCTGAGCTGTCCCTCAGCATCCCCCGCCAGCGGGAGGTCCCCAGGGAGGCAGGGACAGCGCTGGAGCCTCCAGCCAGCAGCACCTCCCCGCAAAGGGGACTGGGAGGCGAAGCAGACCCCCCGGTTTGTTCGATTAACTCCCCCGGGGTCACAACCTTGAGGTCTCGACCCTGCGAAAGGACAGAATCCAGCCTGACGTGGCGACGGGAGCCGAGCGGCGCTCGCAGCATCCCCTCACCTACGCAGAGCCCCGGCCCGAGCCGCGGCTGTGCCGGAGTTCAGGCACAGATCACACGGAATAAAGTTGGGCCTAGGGAGAGGTTTCTGCGTGGAGTTTTCCCCCCAGTGCCCGGGCTCAGCGCTGCTCGTTCGTTAGAGGAGTCAGGGCAGCGTCAACCCCGCACGTCTGCGCACACAACCAGCTCCTCGCACATTCTAAAGGCGAATTATTCCCGAGCACAACTCCACCGACACGCGTTCCAGAACAACGAGCCTTTCCTTTCCGATCCAGAGCCCGAGAAAAAGATGAGTTAGAGAGCGTTTTCCTCGCCGCCTGGCACGCAGGGCTGCGAGCACAGCGGTCCGCGGGGAGCATCCCTGCCAGCTGCCCACCGCATCCCGGGGATCGCTCCCGGCTCAGCCACAGGAGTTGTAGCCGCCCCCCTCCCCGCGCCCCGCGAACTTCAGCTCCGCTGAAAAGCCGGAGCGTGGCATTTTTCAACTCTTGGTGCGCTAAAAACACCGCAAAGGGCTGGTCCCGAAGTCCTTCAGCGAGTGGAGGGGGCGGCCGGGGGGCACCGGCTGTGGGTCGGGAGGGGATGGATATGAGCGGCAAGGGGCCGAATGTGGCCGGGGAGGGGGTGATCGTGGCCGGGGGGGCCAGCGAGCGGCTGCGGCTCCGCGCTCCGAGCGCTCCCGGCCCCGCGGCTCCGCAGCGGCGGCTCCCGGGGGCCGGGGCGAGCATCCCGCGGGGGACCCCCGGCCCCGCCACCCCCGGGGGAGCGCTGCCCGCCGCCCGCCAGACCCTCCCTCCTCCATCCTCCCTCCTCCATCCATCCATCCATCCCTGCCTCCCTCCTCCATCCATCCATCCATCCCTGCCTCCCTCCATCCCTGCCCGCTCGTACCTGGGCTGGGCTCTGCCCGCGGCTGCTCCGGCCCCGCTCCGGCAGCGGCGGCCGCAGGTCCCCGGCGGCGGGAGGGGGAACTGCAGGGGCGGGGGCGGCGGCCCAGGCACGGCGGGGACCCCCCAAAAACGGGCGGGGCGGCGAGGGAGGGATGGAGAGGGGCTACAGGGGAGAGAAGGGGGCTGGGGAGGGACGGGGGGAGAGGGCAGGAGGGAGGGATGCAGGGGGTGGGGGACAGCAAGCAGGGGATGGAGGGAAGCAAGGAGCAGGAGAAGGGAGCTGGGAAGGAGGGCGGAATGGCAGGAGACTGAGGATGGAGGGAGGGCAGAAACTGGGGTGGAGGGAGCACAGGGAGATGGGATGCAGGGGGCTGAGGAGGGAGGGCAGGGATCAGTGGGGCACTGGAATTATTGCTTCCAAACCCGACCAGTTTTCCTAAGGCCAAACTAAACACTCCCAGTTGGGATGTCTGGGTTTGGGAAAGCTGTGCTTTCTCCCCCACATCCCAAACCCTTAATTTGCTTTAGGACTCTCCAGGGTTCCACCTTTCCCTATATGTTCTCTCCCTCTGCCCTCCCTGAGAAGGACACACGGTGAGGCACTTTTGCCCTGAGCTGCTAAAATCTTCATGTCCAATGTTAACCTCCTCCTTGTGCCCTGAACAGCAACACAGGCTGGGAAAAACACCAACATCATCCAGCAGTGGGAGACTGGCAGGAGTGGGACAACCAGAGCCCTCCCAGGGTGTGAGGCTGGGAAATGCTGCACCACCCAGAGCTGAGGTGTCCCTGTGCTGCTCCAGCCTCCCCTGCGATGCTGCAGCTTTGTTTGCTTGTTTATTTCTTTTTTTAATGGCGAGAAAAGCGAAGCTTTTAAACCATCAATTAATTGGACTCTTGCATTAAGAGCGACGAACTATTATTTGACAGAAATTCATCTTCCCCTCCTGCTGAGAAGAAATAAGCTGGAGGAAAAGAATCAGCTTCAGAGGAGAAAAATAAAACGCCTCTGCTTCAGAGACAAATTACTCATGAGATACACAGGTAACAGGCATGGGGTGCTTTGAGCTCATCCCTTTTACACATCATTTCCCTCAGGACAACAGCTACAAGTCAACCTGCTTTGTGACTGATCCCCAGGCCTTTGCCCCAGTGCCCCTGCCCAGCAGGCCATCCCAAGCATTTGTTATCCTGGAAATAGAAGAGCATTTCCCTGTGTCTGGGCTGAATTTGCTTTTAATTTATGGTTGTGGCCCTCAAGGTCCAGATTCTCACCTGCCTGGGCTGCAGCTCAGTGCTGAAGGTGAAGTGGGAGGGACAGGAGCATCATCCAGGTGGATCCTGCATCCTCCTCCCTCTTCCTGCCTTGTGCAACCACCCCACTCCCCTTCAGACTGATTTTGCATAGTTCAGGTCCATCTCTGCCCTTCCCACCATTACTGGAGCCTCAGCCTTGCTGTTGTGCACTTAGAAGGGAACTTCAGACCTGGGAAAGTAAAATCCAAAGCCTCCACCTCAAAAACTCCACGGCAGGGCAGAGTCACGAAAGTTAAAGCACCTTGTCAGCCAACAGCAGGTGAGAGTGGTCTGAAAGCAGGGAATCCAGAGGAGGCAGCCACAGGAGAGCTGTCTGCAAATAAACCTGGCTGGGTTTGGAGATCCAAAGGTTTCCAACCCCCCTCCTGCCAGGAAGTGTTAACGTGGGGAGAGGAGGGGGAGGGAAGCCACCCAAAAATAGAGTTTTGGTCACTTTATGAATGAGGTGATCTGACACAGTTCCCTGCCAAAGCAAGGGAGTTTGGTGACCTAGAAAATCCCCTTCCTGGGGATGGAAGTGTTGTTGTTGTAAGACTGTAAATCTGAGCGTTACGGAGGGTTTGGGATCCTGCCTTAAACTCAGGGCACAGAAAGGCAGGGAAGAGAGGCTGGTACTTCAGAAAGCCCTCAGAGACAGGGTCTCTCCTCCAGGGCAGAGCACTGGTCCCCCACCAGCCAGCCCTGAAAGCTCCTCCCCTGGGAATTGCTGCTAAAATGCTCCCTAAGGTCAGCAAGGCACAGGGGGCAGAGCAGGAGGTGTTAGAAAAACAGTTAATTGTCCAAAACAGAAGCTCAAAACTATGGTACTATTGCAGGTCCAGCTCAGCCCAGCCCCAAACACCCTCTTCCCAGCAGCAGCTCTGCCAGCTGAGCCCCTGCAGGGTGTAGGAAAGCCTGTGGTGATGCATATGGATGAGTCTGCCCCAATTTCCACAACCAACAGGCTGTTTGTTCCGAGGGATAATCCAACACCTCCAGATCCAAACATCTGGGGGAAACGAGCCCTGCTTACCTCACGGTGTTATCAGACACCCAAAGCAATTAAATGATCTTCTCCCTCTCGGCTGCACCAAGAGGGGGGCTCTGATCTCAAAACTGACGTGAAGTTGAGCTGTGAATCATGGAAACAACTGCTGCATCCCTCTTCATAGGTGGCTACATTTCAGCAGCACAGTAGAGGAGTCAGTCAAACACAGGAAGAACTGAGAGATTCGAGGGGATAAAAGATGCTGCAAAAGGCAGGGTTTCTCTTTTTACTGAAACACACACACAAAAAATAAACCTATTATGTGCGTGCCAGGTTTTTCTTTAAGGTTTGTAACAAGTTTCTATTGGTAATAGAGCACGTCCAAATTAGATAATTTTATAGATAAGAACAGCTTTGAAGGAAGTGGTTAGGGGAGTAAGTATCTTGTGGTAGTTACATAAAAAAGCCCATCTAATTATATATATATATTTAGATAGCTCAAAGAAGTTAGTAGGATGAGTTAGATAAATAAGGAACATTTTGTGGAACAGTTTGTTTGCCTTCTTTTTCATGCAGAAGAAAATGTGTGTGAATTTAAATGAGCTCAAGTCAGGAATGGCATCTGCCATCCTGATGCAAAATTTGGGAGGATGCTCGTAAGTCCCACCCAAAGAGGCTGCTCCACACCTTTATTCCCAGTGTTGAAAGCAAGCCATTCCTTGAGTTACCATCTAATCTCATAAATACACACGTGGTTGGTGCCCAAAGCTCCCCAAAGAGATGGCTCACACCCCCTCTCAGGTGCTGCACACGCAGGTGAGGCAACCCTGGGAGACCAGAGAGAACTTCAGTAAGGTTCCAAAAAAGCATTTTGCCATTTGGGAGATGGGAAACAGAGGCCTGGGAGCAGTAACAGGATTTCAGGGAGGCCACATCTCAGAACTGAACCCACCTCCAGTCACAGCACTGAGCTTTCACAAGGAGATCCATCCCCTCAGACAACAATAAACACTGGATTCATCATTTGCAGTTTATCTTCACTTGCATCCCAGTTTTCCTTGCTTTTTTTTGTGTGTGTTCTCTTTTTAATTACTGCCATCAAAGCATGTTTTCCCCTCTGTGTGTTCATTCCATTCACACCTAAAAGGCAAAATAAAACCCAAAAAACAATCCACCAACCCCACAGAACCCACCTCTCTTTGAAATGTGAAAGATGAATGAAAGATGAAGAGACTTTTGGATGAGAAATGATTAAGAAAAGGGAGAAATGAAGAACGAAATGACTTCAGATCTCACGAGCAGGTTGGTCCAAGGCCTAAGGAGGGGACCTCCCACCTCTGTAAGTGGAGCCCCTGCTCTGGCTGGGACTCACTCTGGGGCAAATTTATCTGCCCTTAAACCTCCACCTCTAATAATTCCATGGAGAGTTAAGAAAGGAGGGCAGGGAGACAGATGAGCCACAGCTCAGCAGTGACAGGGGCAGCTTTATTATGGCACAATAAAGAAAATTGCAGAGGAGAAAAGATGAGTTCAATAGAAGCTGCAGTTGAGGCCATTTGACTCCTGCTGCATGCACACACTCAAATGATGATGATGAATGGGTCAGAGGGGCTTTTGAAACGTTGGGAGCTGCCTCCTTCCAGGACAGAAGTTACCCAAAAACAAACAAGCAAAAAGAGGTCAGTGTTTGGAGGTGAAATACTGGGTTAAGGGCAATCAGAGGAGAACCTGGAACGGGCAGTTCCATCATCGAGTTTTTGTGGGGAACAGCAAAGACACACCAGAACTGGCAGAGGAAAGGGAGGACACTGCTCAGTGCTCATTAAACTTCACTTTTGAAGGGAGATGGGAGAAGGAGAAGGAGCAGAAACAGCAGAAACCTCCAGCAGGATTTAAAAATGCCACAAAGACCCACAGAGAAGGGTTTAATCTCCTCCTCGCAAAGGTCAGAGGGAAGGAGATGCAGTGACATCAAATACATCTTTATGAAGCTACAGAGAAAGGGTGCCTTCAAACTGAGCTGACAAAAGAAGAACACAAAGCTTTCTCCTCTCCATGCTAATTCAGAGCTGAGATGTTGTTTTAGCACCAGAAGTGGGATCTGAATTGAAGCTTCAAGAGGCAGAAGGAAGGAA